CAAAAATTGTGGCAGTTTGAAGAGGATAAACCTCTTTTTACTCAAAAAAATCAACTTTAAACGTTTCTGAAAAATTAAATAATTGAGATATAGAAAAAATCAGACACTACGTTGTAGGTAATACACTTTTAATTATAATGAAGAAAAATTTGTTTATTTCTGACGTTCCAATCTTTGCTGGCGATGGTGGTCAGCAATTGATGTTCTAGCAGAAGAAGTTTCACAATAACTCCTCCATTTTGTAACAGACTTACTTTTCAAAAATTGCAGAGAAAAGCTGAAAGTGACATTTATATCCTCTAAGAAAAATTGAAGATTTTCATTTAGTATTTACCTAAGAAAAAAATTCCCAAACTTTTACCCACTTCTTTGCCTGATCACAGACATCCTTTTTAAGATGACATTATGCCAACGCCCTGGACTAAATAGGTCTGGACACCTAATTATTTATGCACCCTTTGAAGCCATTTAAATTGCGTATAAACATTTTCTCGTGTCGACCATACAACATTTAAAAAGAATATTAATATTATATTCAGTGACAACTTTAACTAACAATTAAAATATAACATATGATTGGAGCAAAATCGATAGAACTGTCAGAAAAAAGGCGCAAAAATGGAGTGTAATCAGGAACAGAAGATTATGAGATTCGGAATTCTGATGTGAAACTGTCGGAAAAAGGCGCAAAAATGGAGTGTAATCAGGAACAGAAGATTATGAGATTCGGAATTCTGATGTGTCAGCTTATTAGATCAATCCGTATCCCTTTTTTCGTCTTCCATTTATCCGTCCTTCGCTTTCGTTATTTTTTCCTGTTTCTTTTGGCTCAATTATCATATGCTAATGGTTACAGCAGATTATCCAAATGTGATTTTCAACGAATCGCTGTTCCACAATGGTTCGAGTCCGATAATGCGATTAAATCACGTCAGGAATATTGAAACGTAATAAACGCTGGTCCGCTGACAACGAGTGGAAAACGTCACGGGGGACAGTATTAAACGTTCCGTCAATAGATTTTCCTTTCCTTGCCGCTTTGTTCCTTCGGCCGAGAGAAAAGTCAATTTCGTAAAAACAATTTTGTCGACCACGGGCCAGAGAGTAATACGTACGAATCAACGAACCCAGCAGCAGCCTGCGAAAGGAGCTAGTGTGAACGAAATGAAATTACCGTGGGTGCAGAGGCGAACGGATTCCCGTAACGTCGATGCCAGAATTTGATGGAAAAGCAACCGAAAGAAACGAGCTAGACCGTTTTCAGATTA